AATCACTGTCGGTAGTGTAGTATAGAAGATCTGAAAAGGTGTTCGAGCTCATGATCACGAAGACAAGCTCCAGCGAATGCAGGATGTTATCGAAATTGACTGTTCCCCTATACGGATTGGTGTTTTCAACACAAATGGAGCCTTGGGGGCAGAGATACCCTTTCGCATCTGAACCGCTCGAAGTCAGATCCTTTTTCAACCAAGGCTCTTTTGCGCCAGTGGTTGCATTGAGGTATCCACCGCAGAACTGTAGCGTGCCGTACGGATCGTTGAGATCAAAGTCAGTCTCATTGTCACGACCGAGCCAGCGGCAAGTGCGTCGGAAGCTCGACTTGAAGCTCTGGATCCCGACAATAGCAAACAGTAGCCAGAAGAAGCCTATAAGGAATGCAACATGAACAAGCAAGGGAGCTGCTTTCTTGAGACTTCGGAGAATAACCTGTTTCGATCAGCTACCCGATTCAAACTGATAAAGGTCTCTTAACTTACGGATGTGCCGTTGGTGAGCGCAAGAAGACGCAAGATGCGAAGGCAGCTGAGCATGCGAAACACGTATAACTGCTGCCGAGTTTCGACACCGTTGAGAGAGAGTAAGAAGGATACCCAGAATGCTACGACGGCGACGAAGTCGAGGCGATTGAACGAATGTCGGAGAAAAGCACGGTGTGCGAGTCGCACGCGGCGTGGCTGTAAAGGGTCATCGATGACTTCTGGCTGCAACTGATCGAAACCGCCAGTGAAAGTGCGTAGAATGGAGGCCTGCTGTGGCTCTGGAGTGCTAGAGGCTTGTTTCGAGGTAAATTGCCGTTGCGGTGCAAGTAGATTCTTCCCTTTCTCCGCCACTGCCTTTCTCAACCCCAGCGATCGATCCAGGGTACTGTATTCCGCCGGATTGATGATAAGGCCCGACACCAAGATCTTGGCTATTAGTTCCAATGTATAGATAACAAAGATGACAAAATAAGCGTAGTCCATGGGATTAGAGCCCCAGCGCACAGATCGCGGATGATCCCAGACCGACTTTGCCGATTCAAGAGCCAGCAATATCGTTTGAATGATGATCACAACCAGAATAAAAGGCTCCATGAAAGGATGAACTAGTATGTCGCATAGTCGCACCCGTATAGGATTGTCCGGACCCAGGATTCCGAGTGCTTTGCCTCTCAGAGGATTGTTGTACATCCTCCACGCTTTGCTCGCGGATGTTCTGGTCCGTGATATTTGACCATCAGGCATTCCGACAGACGGCGCATCGTGTGCATATCCACTCAAGGAGGGAAGCGACGGAGGTTCTTCGAGTCGTGCATTCTTGTGCTGTTCCTCCCTCATAATCGCTTGTTCAACCACCTCCGGCTCATTGCTCAGGTTAACAACACGCTGGGACATCGACTTCATCATCGAACTCGCACGCTGCAAAGCAGACCCAGTGGCCGAAGGAGACAAGGAACGGGCCCGACTATCTCCAGCGCTGCTGCTCCCGCGACGTCTCCGACCCAAACCGCTCTCAAGATGTGGCAGATCATCACCCAAACGAGACTCCGAATGCGAATCGGGAGGGAAACGGTCGCTGTGCGTGCTGCTTCGGTCATCCTGTCCACCCGAAAAGTTGTGAGAAGCTCCGCTGATGGGCTGAAGAAAGCGATGATCGGTCAACGGGGCAGTATCCTCATAGGTATCGGTTGGGGAAAGATAATGTTCAGCTTCCTGCGGCCCGAAGTCATCGAGAGGTACGTTCGTCAAGTCGGAGCTGGATTCGCGACGTCGCGCTGAAGGCGTGGTGCTAAGTGTCGGGTCGAAGCTGAGGCCCACCGACGACATTGCCTGAGCAAATGTCCCTGGATCCTCGACATGGAACGCATCTCCATTATTATGGACGACGTGTTGTGGACGTGCACGCCGTGCGACTGGCGGGGGTTCAACAGGGGACTCCTCCGACACCCTCTCATAGTTACTCAAAGACCCTCCTCTTCTCAAAGACCGCCTCGAGAGAAATCTGCTTCCCACGCGACTTGTCCTAACCTGACTACGCTCCGACGGCCCGGAAAGGTCTTGTAAAGGGATCGAGTGATCTGTGAGAGCATTGTCTTCGTCATGGCCGCGATGGTGGCTATTCGAAGCCATCGTAGGCAGATATAATGCGCTAGCCGAATGTAGACATTGCAGACTGCAGCTGCGGAAATCGTACCTGTGTCAATGTCTTGCGATTAGGGACAATTCGACAGTAGATATAAAGAGAAAGAGTTGCTTTCTGCTAAGTTATTTTCTTCGGTTCAGGAACTTACTAGGTACTGTTGTTGCCTTGCCAAGTATGCGGGAACGAATGTTCTTCTTTAACAACACAAGTTCTCCCGAACCTATCAGGCCAAACTAGCGGGACTGCGGGAGTCTGCGGGCTTTTGTCCAGAGGGAAATAAGGCCAGTGTGACAGAAGACGCAGGCTACTGTACCACTCGCCCTCAGATCGCGATATTATTGAACAAGCATGAGCAGCGGAGCTCTGCTTGGATTGCGCCAACGCGGCCAAAACTGGGGCGGTTGGCCACAAGCCGGCTTCTGTGTGGTTCGTTGAACTTGGTCTCAGCTGCGCTGGAACCTGAGACTCTGGAACCCACGCTTGTGGCTCTTCCAAATTTAGCCATTTTTAATTTCTTACTCTGTACGTACCTCTCTAAATTGGATCATCAATAGTAGTACAAAGTCTATCTGCTTCTTTGTTGACTTCATGGTTTACAGTAGCGACGGATTTTTGTTTGGCTTGTATATGAGGTTTGCCGATATAGCCTAGCCCACAGGGCCAATGAGCTATGCGGGCTCTAGCCTGTCTCCTGTGATCCCGTATCTAGTGAGAGAAATATAGCTCTGAAACTATACTCTATTAATGATTGTGTTACGCTGAATCGACGCCTTGCACGGAGTGTTTTAGCTCGTCACAATCTCTGAGCAAAGTTCGGCACCTGGCCTTGCCTATAAACCGCTAAGTAGTAAATCTGGGAGTCCAAGTTGCTTCTTCATGCTGCAATGTGTCGGAAGGATTGATGGACCGGCAGTACCCAAGGCTTTTGGTTCTCTAGTGTAAATCTTCTGCTGCAAATGCGACGCTTCTAGTGGACGGATTCATCATGGCAAGAGAAGGTAGTTACAGGAGGTTCTTGGTACAAGACGCGTGGCTCAATCAATCTGTCTCCATCTGATTCTCCTGATCCGATTCCTTAACATGGTCCCGAACACCTCTGAGAAAAGCTTCAACAGCATCCCCGCCACCAAGAGGAACCCCTCCTCTACGCATGAAACCACCATTTTCAACAGGGATCTTGAGGGCCTCGCTTATGCTTGGTAGGCCGCCATCTCTGATAGCCACAGTCAAGCTAGCAAGACTCTGTGAGAATTGAGGGGAATGAAGGACTTTTCGTAAGATGCTCTTCTTTTGCGATAGGTCGAGCGAGAGCATTGCTGCTTCCACGATCTCCGGATCGGTCTCAGCAAGCGACACATCTTCGGATTCCTGCGCCAAAAGGAGGAGGGTCGGTGGTAGATAGCTTAAGAGGCTGTCAACAGTTTCATCGTCAGCAGACTCTAGAAAAGGGATCGTAGATGATGGCGAAAGGAGGTCTTGTAGCGTGGTGAAAGGTCTGTCGGGGTCTTGGGACTGGTTTTGGTTCCCCTGCAAGGACCTCAAGAAGCTCTGTACAACAGACGAAGGGTTCGAGTCGGCGGCCGCCCTGAGAAAACCAGATCAGCTCAGAAACTTCAGTACAGCGATGGTCTAAAACCAGGAATCTTTCGGTGCGGGATCGAACTCGACCGGAAGCAGGAAGATGTACCTACGCTCTTCCACCGTCAGCACCACCCTCCCTCGCTTCTTCTCCTTCTTCTCTGATGTCTCCACCCGTTGCGTCCGGGCCGGCTCCTCCACTGCTGCCTCCGTGGTTATGGTTTGGATTATGGTCCACGCCCTCGACATCCTCCATCGTCTCATCGTCGTCGCCGCCGCCAGAAGGACCACCTCTGGGAAGGTTGGCAATTGCATGCGCGACGTCGACTTCTTCACCCTGAAGTAATTCGTTGACAATTTCGCCTAGCTTGAGATCTCTGGGACTGAACCAGCTCGGATCACCCCTCTCATGCTGAGATTTTGACTGGAGCCAGAATAGATAGCGCTGCGAGCTGGAGGAGAACTTCAATACGAAGATTCGGCCGTTGGTGGGTGCATCTTTGCCAGCTGGTTGATAAGGGGTGAAGGTTCCGTCTGATGGGACCATTACGAGATCCAATTCGGGTTCGTCATGAGGAGCGGTTCTTGGACGCCAGCAAAAATGCACCAATTCATCCTCGGAGTAGAGGTAGATGTAGCCTGGTGTGGGCTTCGGCTTGACCACGGGGTTTGAACTTGAGACCTGTTATTCGGAGAAACTTTAGTGTTAGTGACGGTCATAAAGGAGTTGACAGACCGAATCCTGGCCTTTTGATAGGCAGAAGGGCGAGGTTACGATGCCGGAGTTGCAGAGGCAGTCACTCACATCTAGGTCACAGATACCAGCTTTGAACGTAATGATTGGAGCTATAGACATGGTGGAGATCTATGAGAATGGGAAATAAAGGTGGAAAAAATGGTGGAGCTGGACTTTGCCGGCCGTCTTGTGATGTTGATTGAGACGGGATGGTGTTGTTGTGATGGTTGGTAAGCTCTGAAGTAGTAATGGGTTCTAGCAGGATACGTCAGTTCAAGAAGATGGGGCTGAGAAGCTTCCATTGCGCTAGAGGTTTCTACGGGTGACCGGATCTCGACACCTCAGGCAAGCCGCAGTGACCTTATCAGGGGCTCCAAATCGGCACTAGCGCGATTCGGTTAATTGATAGGGCTCGCGTTCCCACAAACCTCAGGATTTCCGCCCGGGGCCGCAGGTAGTCAGTCACACTTCAATCCAACAACCACCCGCCGTCGACAACCACCCACCCCCTCCTACTTTCTTTTCAGACCACCTTCGTCCCCGGTAGCCAATATGTCGGACTCTACTGTTGGCCAGACGAAGCAGTTTGGAAAGGGCCAGAGGACCGTTCCGGCTCAGAAGGCCCAGAAATGGTACCCCGTTGATGACGAGTCGCAGCCTAAGAAAGTCAGTACGCCCTATACAGAGAGAAATGTCTGATCGGAGATGTGGTTTTATTTATGAATGAATGCGACGATTGCGCCGGTCAATGATGCCGCTTTTTGTGGGTGGATCAGGGCCAGTGTCAATGTGAACATGAATTGATAAGAGAAATCGCATCTCCGCTACATATCAATGACTTGCAGGTGTGTCCGGGTTCGTGGGAACAAGAGTTTTCTGACATGGTTTTCGTTGTGCATTTGAACAGGTTCGCAAGGCTATTCGTCCTACCAAGCTCCGGGAAAGCCTTCAGCCCGGTACTATTCTGATCCTCCTCGCCGGTCGCTTCCGTGGCAAGCGTGTCATCCTCCTCAAGCACCTTGACCAGGGTGTCCTCCTCGTTACCGGTCCCTTCAAGATCAACGGTGTTCCTCTCAGACGGGTGAACGCTCGCTACGTGATCGCCACTAGCAAGCGTGTGGACATCAGCAGCGTCGACCAGAGCGTCCTCGAGAAGGTCAGCGCTTCTGACTACTTCACCAAGGAGAAGAAGGCCGAGAAGAAGACCGAGGAGGCTTTCTTCAAGCAGGGAGAGAAGCCCGAGGTATGTGAATTCCGTCGATCAACTGGATCCTATGCACGGTGGAGGGGGAAATTACTCAGTCGTGAATCGATGACACGTACTAATATGCGACTATTCACAACAGAAGAAGAAGGTTGCCAGCGCTCGTGCCAGTGACCAGAAGGCTGTCGACCAGTCCATCCTGGCCTCCGTCAAGAAGGAGGCCTTCCTCGGCAGCTACCTCGCCAGCACCTTCAGCCTCCGGAACGGCGACAAGCCCCACGAGATGAAGTGGTAAACGTGCGTGGCGGCCGCGGGTTCGGTAGTGATTGTGGAGGAAACCTTGCGCGAGGGGCGGCTTGGATTGCAAATGGGCGTCCCCATTCCCCGGGGATAGCATTTCTCTTTTTGCAGCGCGGGAGGAACAAGTTCATGAAATAATGTAACTCGATACGGGCTCCGTCTTTGCTTAGGATTGCGGTCAATTCGGAAAAACCGGTTGTCATTTCCTTGTTTCAACGAAAAGTCCCTCCAGCGTGGCCCGATTTGCAGGACCTCTTAAAAAGAAAAGCCGAAATGTCAAAGAAAAAAAAAAGAATACCTTTTCCAGCTGTTACACGTGCCCTTCAAAAGACTAGGCTGGGCGTTATCGTTTAATGTTAAGTATGATACATCTCTCATTTCCAGGTTCAGGTCGAGATCCAAAATGGGGACATCTTAGGTTCTGTTCCAACTTCCAACTTCCAGTTTCGTGCATATCGCCATCCCTCTTTATCCAACGCCCAAGCGACATCGTTGCGCAGCGGGTACCCGCCAAAATGGACATGCGATCGCGACCTCACAAATAGACTACATGCTTTGAACTGTCTCGAGAAATGCAGCAGACGTCTCTGTACGGAGTAGTAGCACACCGAACCCATGCATCATCAAACATCCAACACCAAATCCAAAATATAGAAGCGACATCGCACCCATATAATCATATATCTACAAAAAGCCATGACCTCATGAACCCACAACCCAAAATCATTCATCCCTCCGCCGCCTCCTCCGCAGCCGACGACTCTCCTCCCTAACCCTCCTCGTAGACTCCTCCACCGCCCTCCGAATCTTCTCATCGATATCCCCGTCCTGGCTCAGACTACTGCTAAGCTGACTCTGCGCATCCTCCATAACACTAGCCGTTCCATCCTCACCGCCATCGCCGACGGTCGTCCCACAAATCCAGTCCAGGATACCCCAAGGCCCGAAATTCCCTTCCGCCCCACTTAGCAAATGCACATCCGTGCGACGCGCAATGCCACCCAGGAAGAAACTCGTCGGCATCACAGAGTACCCGGAGAAGGCAAACGTTTCCTCAATGGATATTATGGACAGGTAGAGGAGGTAGGTGAGCATGTGGAGGCGGAAGAGCATGGCAGGTGCGTACGTTGGGATGAAGTTGGCGAGGAGGTATGCGACGGGGTGATCATAGTGCGCAGTGAGAGGGAACGGTGCGCGCAGTGAGTGATACCATGTTTCATGGTACTTTGCGACGCTATACTGCTTGGAGTGGAGGGCGTAGCGATGGACGGCGTATGCTAGGATCTGCGGTGTCGCAGAATGTGTCAACTTCAGGCCACAGAGCTTATTCATCCAGAGGACGAGAGATCACTCACCTCTCTCCCGAACAAACCGCGGAGCAAGTCTTTGACAATCTCCCAGGGCATCGGCAGTCTCATGGACACTCTGAGAGCGCTGCGCATTCCGAGCACCTTGGTGCGAACGACCTCAATGGCGGCTTGCGCGGCGATGCTCAAAGCAAGGTTGGCCAGCGCCCATCCCGCGACCTTGAAATCCTTCGCTCGGATTTTGCTGCGCTTGCTTCCCGCAGGAAGGCCAATCTCGCCATGCGCCTTGATCACCACTGCTGCGGAGGGTGTCAAGATGTCAAACAGGAAGAAGAGGACCGAGGGCAAGACGTAAAAGAAGAGTCGCACGGCCACGGTACCGAACAATTCAACCCTGAGAGGTGGATGCGACAGCACAAGTGTCGACCATGTCATAAAGAAGAAAAGTAAGTTGAGACTTGTGCTGTACGAGGAAATCGTAGGAATGAGAAATAGAGAAAGGACTGGCAGGGAGAAGAGCGCATCCATCTTGTTTGCGATCTGCGCTTAGCTTTTGGTATAAGTGTTTCGAGACGTGCCTGCTTGATTCAATGATCGCATATTCAAAGCTTCATAGCTAAAGTTAGAATATGCAATCTCCTGCCTGCAACTTGCAGATGTGTCTGACATGGCGATATTGTGGCTGGGGTCCGAAGTACCAAGTAGGGCATGGGTTTCGCTGCTTGTGGAGATCCCGATAAGCTCTACGTCACTATCAGCAAAGCGATCAGCACAGCTTTTAGCCTACAGGTAGAACAATGGAATTGTTGTGCTTGCTAAATTGACGACAACTTAGTGATTAAAATATGGGACCTTCAAAAATGAAGGTAGCGATCAGGTCGTTCGAGGACCGTGTTCAGGTAAGGACAAGGAATGGAAAAGACGCTGTTATCTACAGCAGGACACTACCTAGGTATATATTGCTTCACCATGTACGCCAGTATACTCATTTGATTTCCCCAACGCTGAGCAGCTATCTTAGGATACATCGCCATAACTCTTGATTCAATCCAATCACCTCACCCAGATTTCTAGAGACTTACGGAGGTATCTAATGAGGATACTGATGAGTTTGGCTCCTCTATGCGCGTTCTTTATTGATTTGCAAAAGTCTCGAGATGTTGCAAAAGCACGATTGTACAATCAAATTAGGCGATGGGCATTTATCAAGCAGAAGAAAATAACAATAGTAATTTCGTTTCATCGACTTGATACCTGAGGCTTAGGCACAGGAGCATTACAAATAACGGTAAGAGACAGAGCAAAACGCTCGAGGGTATCTAAGAATGCACCACACAATAGGAACATGACGATACCAAACTCCTACTTCGACTGGGATGATGGGACGCCGTTCTTCGAGCCCCAATTGAAAGCCTTCTTTCGGAGATCGGGAATCACCTGCAGGAATACCAGGTTACTGAGCCAGCTGGTCAAAGTATCGCCAATGATCGAATTCCTACGGCTGGCACCAAGAGCACTGGCTTTCATCATGTGACCGACAAACATTGTGGTAATCAAATAATCGCCTTTCTCTAAGCCTTGGATCGAAGCCCTAGCGACTTCAACCGGACGCTGTGGCTTGTCGGCAGCTTCCAGTTCCTTTGTAAGTTCTGGCTTAATTTGTTGCTCGTTGTCATAACCGGGGCTGAGAATGCCCATTGGGAAGATAGTATGAATCTTGACATCAGCGGGTGGAGCTGCATTTCTGGATTTCGCTGCCCGAGCACCGTTGTACACCTCGATCTCTTGACTCAGAGTATCGGCCAGAGATCGAATCGCGGCCTTGGCCGGAGAATAGGGAGCGTATCCCGCAATAGAGACAAAAGCAAGTGTGGAACAGGTGAAGATAAGATGTCTCTGAGGCAACGGTACCTGCTGGCTGGGGGGGATGGGCTTGAGCCAGCTCTTGAGAGTCGCATGTGCCGTATTCGCAGCGGTCCAATATACGGTGTCCATCTGGCTTCGCAGTGTGTTGACCGGGGTTTCGACGAAAAAACCAGGCTCGCAGTAGCCAGCGCAACACCAAACGACATCTGGAGTCTGACCCTGATTCCACTCAGTGACCTCGGCCATGACACGCTCGCATTCTGCGGCATCTGTCAAGTCGGCACTTATATAGTGGAATCTTTGTTTGCTGGCATATTGGGCGGATCCCTGAACTAATGTGAGCGCCATAGATTGAATGCAGAGACTGGATGTCTGTACCTTAATGGCCTCCAGAGCTTCTCTGAGCTTCGGAACGGTGCGGGCCACGATAACGACGTTGGCACCCTTTTCAGCGAGTTGGCAGGCGACAGCCTTGCCCATTCCATCGGAACCACCAGTAACAACAATGGTCTACAGAGAAATGATCAGCATGCCGTACGATCCAATATGAGAGTTCCCAACATACCCGACCCTCAACGGGAAAATGATTTGTTCGAGAGCCAAACATTTTGGATATGCTATATACGATAAGACCGCAGAGAACGAGTGAAATTCCCAATGTAGCAGGGGAGAAATTATAGGGTATAAACGAATGAACTTGAGACATGAGAATAGATACCAGGGAGGAAAATTCAGGAAGAGGAAGAAGAAAGTGGCTATGAACGAAACCAATGATTAGATGAGCTCCTGCCTGAAATGGTCGTCAAGTCAACTTCGCATCTTGTGAAGAAGGAGCTCATAACAGAAGGTTCCTGGATACCTGAGGCAAAATTCCCGTACGCACCGATACCAGATCCCTGGTGGTTTCGTACCATTGAGCAGTGTCCCGCTCGTATTGATCGGTAATTAGACAAATAAAACAAACATACCTTACTTAGTTTAGCACCGCGACGGCGGTGAGAAGTAAATCCCAAAATTTTATTGCGACAGTTATCAACTCGATACAGTCGATCTTGGTCAAATAAGCCCACATCGTCATTTTGCCTCGAAAATGGCCAAGAAAAGGAAGGCTGGCGGTCGCCCTGCGAAGCAGAACTCCGCTCAGGAGTCTGAGCGCACAAAGTTCGCTTTCGAGGAAAGGTTCGACGATTCCGAGGATGAGTTTCAAGCGGGCCGCGACCACATTTTGCTGGAAGAAGCCCCGGAGGCAAAGAGACGGAGGAAAACGGCTGAGCAAGGTTTGTCTGAGTAATTGATTTTGCATTCGTCCTGTTCATTCCTGACTTTGTATCCTGTAGAGGAATCGCTTCAGCCATCTGACGAGGAGATCATGGGCTACGAGTCCCTGGACGAAGACGACCTAGACGACGAGGAAGATTACGATGAAGATGTCTATGAAGATGAGGATGATGATGATGACATGGGAATGGGTTCATCGAGGGCCAAAAAGTCCCGCCGTGGTGATAGCCCTGGCTCGAATGCTTCAGAAGATGAGGAGGGCATTGCTGCATGGGGAGCGTCCAAGAAGGATCTTTACAACGCCGATCAAATCGAGACCGAAGCTGATGCGCTCGAAGAAGAGGCGGAAGCAAAGCGACTCCAACAGAAGCATCTACAAGCCATGAACGAGGAAGACTTCGGCTTCGACGAAACGGAATGGGTTGAATCTGGCAAGAAGGAAGACGCAGAGGATGAGGCTGGTGCGGTAACGGAAGTTCTTCCGCAGGTGGAGATCACAGACGAAATGAGCACAGAAGAGAAACTCAAAATCCTAAAGTCGAGA